TAAATTACACCGCATAACATAAATCTCAAACGAAACATATATAAATTTATGAATATACAGAAATAGGGTAAAGAGACAATCAAAAAAAGCAAAAGAATTTTAATTGAGAAATTATTAAAAGAGGAATAACGAAACTTACAATATTGGTCGACCTTCAAAAACAAGCTCGTTATTGTAAGACCTTGAATTACAAGCTTTTTGAGGTATACATTTGTTGTCTCATCTATAAATAGAAGTCCGTAGGAGTTATCTCCTTAATTCTCATAGAGTATTTATGTTGCATAATTACGTAAGTGCACAGATCGTATAAATAATAAAGTGTACTGGAGTACGGATATTGTTTCCACATAGATTGAATCATCAATAATATAGTGTAGAAATCATGCAAACACAAAATTAAGTGAAAGAATAAACTAAACAAAAATTCACTAAAATGATGTAAAGAAATGGATGCAATATAAATGCAAGTAGAAGGTGATAGAAATAACAAGAATGCAGTATAGATTGTAAATCTGTGATTTAATCAAACTAGGATTGCTAATTTCTCCTCAGTTGCAAGTCTGACAGTACCTGCTATAGCATTATTACCCGTGTTAACTGAAACTTAGTTCCCTACATAAAATTCTTCTGAATTAATTATGGCTAAAAATTCTTCAAACCATTTTCAGCATATTTCTATGTGAATCTAGTTCTCATAATGCAAATTTCAGTACCGGTTTCAATGGGTTATACAAGATGAACAATATATTCCTATATCATTCATAAATCAACAAATTTAAACAAGAATATTGAACTTGCATTATCCGTGTTAGATCCAACTCAAATTAACCTTCCCAGTATTAATCTAAGTCTTGTATCCTATAGTTGATGACCATTCAAAAATAGAAATAAACAGTAAACACCAATGGATGAACATGAATAAAAGCTCAAGCAAATTCACAAATTAGCCTTCATTCTTACAACTTTAGTTCCATCAATAATCCTAACAAGAAATTACTTAGCTCATAATTGGAATTACAAGAACCAAATAATCAGTATAATTCATTGTTCAACAAAATTACAAATCCAAAGGGAAATAAAATGCAACAGGTGAGATAGAAGAGAGATTCAGCTGGTTTGGAGCTTTTAGCATTTTTCTTCTCCTTTTTCTTCTTCAAGCAAGCTTTCACAGGATGAAAAAGACTAAAAATCACCTCCTCCCCATACTACTCTTCTTTCTCTCTATATACTCCTTTTTGCTCTCTTCGGTCCTTTTTTTCTTTCTTGTCTGGTTCTTTTTTTTCTCCCCTTGGTGGCGCTCTCTTTTTTCTTAAGGAGATACTGTACTCTTCTTTAGGGCACCAAGTAAGGACACTAATGTGTCACCAGGTAATTGGTTTGGGCAGAAAATGACATGTGCACAGTACTCATCCTCGTGTACTTTGTCTTATTTCTTTTTCAGAGTCATGCGCTGATGTCATCCACTAAACTGTCTGCTGTAAAATTTTGTTGCAGCATTTTTCTTCACAATTCATGTAGTTCACACCAATGCACCTTAGACACAACTTAGCTCTTTTTTATTCAATTTTCTTCAAAATCGCCATAGGAATAGCACATATACACATTTTAACAGAGTACATCACAAGAACCAAAAGTTGAATATATAAAACAGACAAACAAATAATTTTGCCCTTGGATTAGCCAACTTTAAACCTAGAAAAGCCTAAGATAACTCTAATTTCTAGAGTTATCAATTTATCCTAAAACATTGTCCCTCTGAGAGTAATTAATTACAATACTCAATTAGATTCATTCTTGTGCGCTAAGAATTTGACAAGTTAAAAGACCATGGTTCTTTTCCCATTTGTGTTAAGTGTTTTTACATTGCCGCTTGATGTTAGTGGGTTCAGATTCGTTGTCGTCAATTGGTTGATATTTTCTGCTGTAATTATCTGTAGTTTTGGATTGTACCCTAGCTACTCAAATATGATTTAGTCTCAAAGAAAAATTAATTCATGACAAAAATATCCTTCCACAATAGATAATTATTGGTGATAAATTTTAAAAAAGGTAAAGGGCATAAATTGAAATATAAATTAAACCGTTTTTTTAAGCCCTAAAATAAGGCAAAAAAGTAGTTAAGTAAGAAGTATAAAAGTTGAAGGGCATAAAATGAAAACAAAAATTAAATCATTTTTTCTTGAGGCCTAAGTAAGAGAAAATAATAGATAACAAGTAAATAAAAATGAATTGCATAAATGAAAACACAAATTAGTCGTTTTTTCTTAAGCTTTAAGTAAGATAAAAAAGTAGATAACAAATAAGTAAAAAGTACAAAATGTGAAGAGTATAAATGGAAAAAAACGGTGACAACAAGTAAGTAAAAATTATATATAAAAAAACTAAAGGGCATAAATAAAAATAAAAATTAAACCGCTTTTTCTTAAACCCTAAATAAGAAAAAATAATAGATACAAATAAGTAAAAAGTATGAAGGATAAAGAGTAAAGGGCATAAATAGAAATACAAATTAATCATTTTTTTTAATCTTTAAATAAGATAGATAAGTAAATAATAAGTAAGTAAAATGTATAAAAGATAAAGGACATAAACGAAGAAAAATTGATCGACAACAGCCTGCTTTATTACATTCTTAATATATAATAGATAATAGATATGAGTGAAAAAGGGAGCGAGGGACCTTAGTAATATATGAGTGGGAAAGATAGGGAGGGAGGACGAGAAATTGTAAAATAATAATAATAATAATAATATAATAATAATAATAATAATAAAAAATTACTATAAATCGTTATTAAGGAAAAATATTTTAGTAGAATATGAAAAATATCTCACTAGGACATGAAAAATAACCTATAGAATATGAAAGATAACTCACTATGATATAAAAAATAACTTATCCAAATATATAAAATAACCTACTAAAATAGTTTTTAGTGACATAAAATGATAAATTTAAATTTGATAGCAAAAATGAAATAATGTTACCTTTATGGCATTCATGAAAATTTTCCTATTGTATTTCTTTTTTATTTTAAAGATGAAATCATATCAATTTAAAAGGAATGTTTGGCTAAGCCCCAACAACAGTCAAGAAAACATGTTGATCTATTAAAATAAATATGAGAAAATTATTAAACTTTCAATTAGAATGCAAGGTCTTAATTTTTATTTTTACTCTTAATTAATATTTTTTTAACTAATATATTTATTGGATTAAAAAATATATTAATTAAGAAGGAGTAAATCTAGACCTACGCAATGTAGGTATTTGTTTTTTTTTTTTGCTATTAAAATATGGAATAAAATTTGACAAATGTTCTTCTATTTAAAAACAGCTTGTAAAAAATATATTAAGAAATTATATCAGTTTACGCTTTTTTTGTTGCTCTGGGAAAAAGATATTGTTAACAAATTTTAGGGAAAAAAATTTGAGATTATTTTGGAGAAAAAAATTTATTAAGAGCAAATTAGAAAATTTGTCCCTTTTTAAGAATAGAAAGTGGACAATAGAAATCTTGTGTAGTGTTTAGAAAAAGACAAAATATCTGTATTCGAGCACTCTTGCATATTTTCTAGAACATAAAATTAAGCTAAGTATCACTTTTAAAGTGTGATTATTATTTAGTGCAAATTATGCTTAAAATTTTAATATATTTAAACACTGCTCAGGTGGTATCATCACCATTTCGGCCTTTCGTGGATGTAGAGTACTAGCCCAGGAAAAGCCTGCAAAAGCCCGCTCCATATTGTAGCCCACCAAAGGCCTAAAGAGCTCTGGACGACCTCTTAAAATGGGCCAACAGGCGACCACTGGACTTTTTGGGCCTGATCCTTTTCCTCTCTCTTATTTCATTTTTATTTATTTTCTTTTTCTATAATTACACATGAACACAAAACACTATTCAAACTTTGAGTTAAGTTATTTTCTTTTTTCTTCTAAGAAAAAAGGAGGGTTCAATTTTATGACTGAATGTTCTGTTCTACTCTTCCAAGTGCCAAGAATAAAAAAGAAGTGAACGGAGTTTTACTAGAGATGCAACAATGGGTTGGGGCCTATGGGCCGGCTAAGGCCCAACATGACACAGTGATGGGTCGGGTCGGCACGGCCCGTCACTATTCAAGGCACGACCCATCTCATAAATATTGGTGAGCTAGGTTGGGCCAACATATATCGGTCCATAGGCCGGCCCGGCACGGCCCATGAAAAATCATGGGTCATGCCGGACTGCGCCAGCCCGTCTAGGTCCATGATGGGCCGGTCCAGCTCGGCCCGTCTAGGCCCATAATGAGCCGGCCCAGCTCAGCCTATCTAGGCCCATAATATCTTCATATTTTTTTATAGTAATTTTGTCAACATCTTATGTATAATTATTCTGATTGTACTCTTTTTTTCTTATTAAGGTTTTGTTCAATTGAATTTTCCTTAGAAAGGTTTTTATTTAATGAGGTAATTGTAAATAAAATATCCCCTTTCATATTTTCATTGACTATTCAAACTTATAAATTTGTTAACTTGTTTAAAAATTAAAAAAATAAAAATAAAAAAATTGAAAATTACATGTTTAGATGGGCTGGCCCATCTAAACCTATGATGGGTCAAGATGGGCCCTGAGTGAGCCAACCCATTCAAAGTCTATGGCACGGTCTATCATGACCTACGACACGGCCCAACCTGACCCACATAAAATTAACCTGTAATGTGAAATGAACCGAAATTATTCTTATATGGACTGACCAGACCCAACTCACAACCTGCCTGGACCTAAGAAGAACGAGTCAGACAGGGCCAAACTGGCCGTTCTTGCATCTCTAAGTTTTACATCTCAATTCTCGGCCAATAAAACATGCAACAAAATTTTAATTTTTTGCTGAATATCAATAAGGATAGGCTTATCCATCTGTAGTCCACGTGGCAGCTGCTAGATGAAATTCCCATATCCTCTAAAGCACACCCATTACGCCACGTGTGAAGTGGAGATCCATGCAAAAGAATCAAAAGCCCAATGATCCCAAACCTCCCTAATCAACTCAAATCACACAACACTCACTTAGACACCACCACCACCAAAGGCCATGGCTTCTCTTGCAACCGTAGCCGCTGTCCAGCCCGCCACCATCAAGGGCCTTGGTGGAAGCTCCCTCGCCGGAACAAAGCTCTACATCAAGCCCACCCGTCAAAGCCTCAAGCCCAGAAACGTCAAGTAATAATTAATTCTCGTTTGATTCGTGCGTTTAAATCAGTATTTTAGATTCGTTAGCCGGTAGAAATTTTTAAATTTAAATTTTTTGTAAAATTAAAGATACTTCAACAGAATTAAAATTATGCGTTTTAAGTATAGCAAGCAAACGGCCCAAATGTTCACAACATTTTTATAGTACCACCATCATCAATATTCAATACGTCTTTCTTAAGCTTGATATATTTATGTAAGAATTGTCTTGCTGTTACTAAATTTGGTAGAAGTGGAGCTGTGGTGGCGAAATATGGTGACAAAAGTGTCTACTTTGACCTTGAAGATTTGGGCAACACCACCGGGCAATGGGACTTGTACGGGTCAGATGCCCCTTCACCATACAACTCTCTTCAGGTTTGTCAGTACCATCTCACTATTTATTTGTTTATTTTGAACTTAAGAGCGGAGGATTTGAATTCTACGCCTTATAATATAGTAGAATAAGGTGTGAACTTATTATTAAATTATATCCACAACCACACTCAAAGACTCGTTTAATTCGTTAATTTGAATTTTTAATTTGAGTTTAAGTGTAACTTTATGTGAGAGTTTTTAACTGTAGCAAAAAAATTAAATGTGATTATTTTTAAAAGTTTTTTATTATAACAAAACTCGAATCGATAAAATGAGTAGGGTCTCAATTGTTTCACGTCTAACTCTTTGTCCGGTAAGATTGAGCAATTAGGATAATACATTAGGAGGCGCCATTACCATTATATAATAGAAAGTGTTATGGGATTGAAAAGCGGATTAAACTACTAAGAACGAGTATCATTGGTTTTTTGTTTATTACAGTTAATGAAAACTAATTAAATAGAAATCTTACAAAACTTAATTACTATTTTTTCTTTTATATAATTAAGTAACGATTTAACTTGTAACATATGAACTCATCATTCATTTTCTTTAACTGAAAATTACAATATCAAGGAGAAACAAGAATTTACATGTTTTTTCTTATTCCCTGTATTGTATAGATCCTACTAAACTTTTATTATTGATTTTCTAAGTAAACATATAGTTAGAACATAGGAAATTGCTTCACTTCTCATTTTTCTTCTTCCAATCTAAGTAAACATGTCCTATTAGTGTGATTTTGCCTTACTGGGGTTCTTCATTCTTGGACCTTGATATGATTGATCAATCTGTAACATAATTTGTTATTCATTTATTTATTTATTTTATTTTTTGCTGAAAATTTGTTGTTTACATGAAAATGCAGAGCAAATTCTTTGAGACATTTGCAGCCCCATTCACCAAGAGAGGATTGCTTCTCAAGTTCTTGATATTAGGAGGTGCATCCACCCTTGCCTACCTTAGCGCCACTGCCTCTGGTGACATTCTACCGATCAAGAAAGGTCCTCAACTCCCACCCCAGCCCGGGCCACGTGGCAAGATCTAAGTTTACTTAAGGGGGGTTTTTTTTTTTTTTTTTTTTTTTTTTTTTTTTCTCTTTCTCTCTCATTTTCTGAGCACTTCATTGTTGTTTTATGTACCTGTTTGATTTTAGAATTTGTAAGTATGTTTTAAAGCGTACTTAAGACCCCTTATTTGACTAATCAAAAAGGTGTATTTCAAGGTGCAATTTAGGGGATTGCTTTTATGTTTCTCTCATCGATTGTGATACTATAATTATTTTTATTTCCATGCCATATTTCTGGATACTCATGCTGCATGTGTAGTCAAGTATCAATTAATGGTATCTTTCAACTCAACCATACATTACAGTTTGAATATTACACATGAAGACCCAAAAACCGAAAGTCATCCAAAAAAATTAAAGAAATAAACATTTTTTAGTCAAACTACCAGAGACAAACCAAATTGGCTCCCCTATTTACAAACAACCGTCTTATGAAAATAGGTAAACCACAACTTGGGTAATGCCCATATGGGGTCGTTCTGCTAAAAATTTACACCATTTGATGGCTGGACTTTCTCACTCTCCTTTTACCTTACATCTCTCTCTCTCTCTCTCTACCACTTTTCTTCTCTCTCTTCTGATTTCTACTTCCTCGTCTCTTCTCTTTTCTTTTTTTATTTTCATCTCCCTACACTCTTAGCTTCTATCAGTGGCGTGCCGTTGGACTTCTCAACCCGCCCAAGTTCTCAAGATATGAAACTTTCTTGTTGGTCACTATGTTGGCGATCTTCTGCATGTGGGGTGGCTTCATTTCACCTTCTTTAGACAACTCATCTGAAAATCCCGCCAACTCCTTCTTAGCCTCGGCCTCTTGTTGGTCCATACCCCATCCCATGAAGTCGAAGAGTGTCATCGAATTCAGTGTCTCGGAGCCGTTTGTGTCCAATTCTCTGGGGCTGGAGAACCTGTCTGGTGGTGTTGTGCATTGTGGTACGTCTCTTAAAGGGTTCCTCTTGCACGCCGCTTGTGATGGATTTTGAGTCACGTAATCAGCATAGAGCACGTCTTCAATTCGGGACATTACTGTGAAGGCCAAGCTCTCCAATATTCTTGAATAGCTTTCAAGAATAGCCTGTCCCACGTCCTGTATTGACACAACAGAAACATCGCAGAAGTTGTAATTCAACCATCTAACAAAAGTTTTCCTTAATTGATGTGGGGATTGTTAGTTACCACTCCATCATAAAAAGCTTTTTAAGCTATTAGGAGATGAACTAACAATAGTATTAAATTTCAATATTTTCTTTTCATGTTAAGCGTAGACCGAAGAAAGCACCCAACACAAATCAATCAAAAGAGGGGAAGAATACAAGTACAAAAGAGACAGAAATGCGACACGTGAAAAGTTACAAAAATAAGGGTTTGAACACAGGACCACCAATTTAATACCATATTAGTTACCAATCCATCACAAAGCTTAATATATCAGGAGAGCTGATAATAATATTATTTTTTGACAGGATATAGGAAAAATATATACATATATATTTTGTCTTACTCGGTTGTATTGGATTTTGCTGATGTCTAGAGCAGACTGAGGGATTCCAGGGAACCTCTGCTTGAGAATGAGCAAGATGGTCTCTGCTCTCTCTTCAAAGAGTTCTCTTTTCTCCAAACTGACAGCCGAACCCCAAGCCGATTTCCCATCTTTTTGGTTCATCTTCCTCTTCCAAATCACAATGGAAGCTTCAATTCTGTTCTTGAGGTCTAGAATCTTGTGCTCAGAGGACAAGTCCATGGTGGAGAGAAATTGGTCAGGATCAAAGAATTCAACTGTAATGCTTTTGTATATTGAGTCCCCCAGACTCGCCCTTCCATTCTAAACGAATATTTGGGGAAAAAAAAAAAAGATGTTGTCAGTTAAAATGAAAAATAAAATAAGATGCGACATTATAATGATACTTATTTCTTCCTCTATCCTTACCTTGGGGAGGGATTCAATGTAGTTTTCTGGGATCTCCATTTCTGATAGAGTTTGAGCATTTATAGCCATGGCTGCTTTAAGGACTTGGTTGACACAATCTTTCTGATACTGCAGAAATTTTCTTGACATTTCAGATAGACCATCGGGGGGAACTTTAGGAGTAGGCAGCCACCATTTGTCATCTTTTCTCTTTGTATTTCCCTTTTCCGAGTCGGGAGCATCTTTTGAAACATAAGTGAACTCATTTTGGTCCTTGAAGTTGTCTAGACAATCCTGTTTGTTAAGTATAAGCTCTTTTAGAGAAGATCATCCATTTCAAACCAAATTATAAAGCAATGGACTAAGCAAATTAAACAGTTAAAAATATGCATGAAGAGTTAAATGTTCTTACAGTGAGCATTGCGTCAAGCTTGCGAAGCGCGGGAATGTTCATGTGAAGATCCGTTCGTTGCCTTGTCGTCATAATCTTTGAATCAAAGCACATCATAATAAACTCATTAACTAAATCTGAGCTATATGAAAAAGAGACAGAGAGAAATATTTTTTCTTTCTTTTTATTACCTCCATTTGTGTTCCATCTTTGGATTTCTGTTGTGAAGGAACAAACTCAACGATGTAATCAGTGACACACAAGAGCCAATCTATTTCTTTTCTCCATCTAGCTTTCCTTTCTGCTGACATGGGCTCTAATCGCGATTGCTCGCCAAAAACAGAAGCTGAACATCCATTGCACTCAATCTCCATGTCAATTGTCAATCATAGAAACAAGTTCTTGGAATGGAAAAAGACAGTTAAATCATTTTATAACCAAATTAAGAAATAACATATCATGCCATTCTCCAACATTTTTCTGAAGGGATAAGGAAAAAACAAAAAAACGTGAAACTTACCAGCAAGATTTGTAATGGCATTTGACAATGCCAATGCTGAAGAAACACCCTTTCCTCCACCAGACATATCCTCTCCCAACAGTAATTTAGCATACCTCTCCTTCATCTGTTCCATATCTGAATACAAACCAAACCAGAAAAAAAGAATTTTTTTATAACTAAATTAAGAGATATAGTTTAAAGAATTTGTATGAACAGAATTACTAGCTGACATATTCGACCATCCCTTTTCAATTCAACAAATAATTAAATCACAGAATGTCAAGCAATTTAAACATGCAGCTAAAGTTCTACACGTACGCTTCAAATATTTTTCCAACGGCGTCTATAACATAAAAAGTTAACAACGTCCATGTTAACAAAATCTGCTCCACATTTGACCTTTTATCTTTCACATTTTTCAAGTCATGTTTCTTTTTCCGATCGCCCTTGTTTGCATATAACTCAAATTTCATACCTGACTCCATCATAATATGTATTATATAAAAAAAAGAACGAACTACATATTAATATATATACTGGCCTGAGATCAGAGTCTCCTTGGCATCTGATCTTGAGCCAGCTTCGTCTTTGCTGAACCTCGACCTGGGACCCTTATCAGTAGGAATAAAAAGCGAGCCGATTTTCTGCCCTTCCTGTCCCGGCTGGCTCTTGGACATGGCGACCAGGTCGGCCTCGGATGACGGCGACGACTGATCGGAGTCGAATGCGCCGGCGCTCTCGACGCTGAGGCTCTTGGTGTGCCGACCCGCATTCTCGTACATCCCTTTGAAGTGGAACAGCCTCGACCGGTAGCTCTCCTGCTCTTGCTCCAATTCCCGTACCATGTTGTACTTGTTCCTCAGCTTCTTCGAGAATAATCTTATGGTCCGTACCACGGAGAAGATAGACCCGGCATTAGCTTTCACCGCTGGGGAACGAGGGAGATTGTTATCTATTTTGAAAAATAATGTATGCGAGTTTTTGGCACAACAAGAGACAGAGAGAGAGGATATGTTGATGGAGAAGAAGAAGCCGCCACCAGCTTCCAAATGGTTTTTTTTTTTTTTTTTTGGACAAATTAATTGGTGAGTTTGACGAAAATGTGGAGGTGATTGAGTTGTATTTTCTTTTTTTTTTTAGCTGGGTTGGCGGAACGTGGGGTGCATAATGTGAGAAATATTGAGGTGGGTTAAGAGTAACTTAAAAATAAAAAATAAAAACTACGAACGTATATTGTTATATTAAAATTGTTATTATTTTGTATGCATTTTGTTAGTTTTGTTGTTAGGTATTTTTGGAAGGTGAAGTAATTGGATGGTTAAGGCTTTAAATTGGAGGTCATAGGAGCAGCTAAAACCCCGGGAATGACAGAAGTGCATGGCTAAAGGGCCAATAACCGGTTTTTCTGTTTGATATCAAAATTCCTAAATTGGACAGGTTTTTTTTTTTTTTTTTATGCTTTCTTTATTAGGCAGTTAGGTTGTATGAAAAAAAAAAATAAAAAAAAAATAAAAAAGACAGTTGGGTTTATGAGATGGGGTCGAATCAAATTCTTTATTTTTGTTTTTATGTAATTTCTTTTTCTCAAATAATAAGAAAAGACAGGGATATTTATTTACTGCTTTCTATCTACTCCAACGACTTTGTTCTCCATTTTTAATCCTTGTTAATGTGCCACCTGCCTACATCAAACGATTTTATTAATTTTTCAGAACTGTTATACATCTTCGTGCTATCCTTTTTTATTATTTGTGCAATTTTATTTAGAAGTTAATAAAAATATTTTATCTATGTAACATATAAGAGCTGTTAGGGTGCGTTTAGAACTCGTTCTAAAATAATTTTTTTTTTGTATGAAAATGAAAATGAAAACGTTTTCATTTTCATTTTGGAATCATTTCTGAAAATGCGTTTGATAGTTTTATTCAAAAATTATTTTTAGTTTAAAAAAAACTGAAACTGCGTTTGGTGGTTTAATTTTTAAAAACATGTAATAGTATTTAAAATAATAATATATTAAATAAATAATAATTGAATCCCAAATAAAAACACTAATAATTAATATAATAATTTAAATCACATTACAAATAAATAGTAAATAATTTAAAATAAGATAACTTAGTAAATGATTAGTAAAAACTTTGACGACTGTATGTGCATTTATTGACCCCTGCCCAGTAGCAATAGTCCCAACAAAAATCTCTGAAAGTTAGACAAAGTTGTGTAAATCCCTTTTCTTGAATTTCCTAGCATCAGGATGTTTCTCACATTATAAAGAAAACAATAATAAATACTCATGTGCAATCCAAAACACCAATTTAACTCTTTCATATCACGTAAGATGGTTATAATCAAAACTTACAGCCACATTCGAATCCCACACTTCTTTTTCAACCGTGACAGTGTTAGCCTTAGAATCCCAACCAAATCCTGTTATTTCAATCAATGCTTGAAATTCTCTCGTACTTGAGTCTTAGAAAAAGAACCAGGTTTCAATCCAAATCCTACCTCTAATCAGTTACAACACATTTTTTTTTATCAAAATATCATGCCGATGATTCATTGATCAGGAATGTCACCAAATGCATAAACAACAAAAACGGATCCAAAACCAAATGCAAAAACGTTTCTAAACCACAGAACACACATAAAAACACACTTATTTCAAACGTTTAGCATACATCACTAACTCATGCCTAGAAAAAAAAAAAAAAAAAAAAAAACTTAAGAATGTCACCACTAGCATAAACAGCAATTTCAGATCCAAAACCAAATGGAACTAGAGAAATATACCCCAGAACACACATAAAAACTCCAGAACACATAATCTTCAATCCCACATAAACCACAAAACGTAACATAAATAGCAAAAACCAAAACACCAGAACAACGTGTTCTGTGCATCTCACATTCTGAATCTCAATGCAGATTCCATAACCAAAAAAGCCTAATCAAAATATAAAACTCTTGCCTCCAATAATATCCCAACACTCCACTACACTACATTGTCTAAGCGGATTATACCAAAACAAACTTAGACCAAAAGACAAGATGCCCACATTTAACCACGTTCATACGATAAAAAAAAAATAAAAACAAACAGATCAAACTCATTTCAACTAATTTTAACTAATCATGTTCATACTGAAGCCTCATTCTTGTTATTCTTTGCAAGCCGATCAAACTCATTTCAACTAATTACCGGATTTAAACATAGATTTTGATGCTTCATGATGATTCTTCAAGCATCACCTATTAAGCCTACTAAAATCAACAATTTAAAAAGAAGTAAACAAATAACCTGTAGGATTAATGAAACCATATAAACTCATCGTTACAAAATCAAGCAATAGGACTGCAGCTCAATAACAAATTTCTTTCATAATCACAGACCGAGTATTGGGGAAATCAATAACATAAAAAATAACTAAAAACTTCCTTCATAATCACAAACCAAATAAGATCTACTGGTTGTGAGAAATTATGACCAAATGATCCGAAAAACAGAAAAAATAACCAACTAAACACCTGGAGGAGGGCCATACCTTAGTTGATTTGGGGGAGGAGAGTCAGAAATTCGCTAATAAGGAAAAAACGTTCAACAAATTCACAATCAGATCAGGCGAGGGAGATGATGAGGATATCAAATCATGCACTTCAACGTGAGAAAAGATGAGCTCAGAACAACGAATGTGGAGAGAAAATGAGAGGGAGATCGGTGATTTCAGAGAGGAGTTGAAGGAAATCCGGTGGAGAAAATGAAAACAAGAAAAATGAAAACGATAAAAAATTATTTTCAGAAACATGAGATAAAAAAGGAAATAAAAATGGGTGTTCTCAGTTTTGTGTTTGGGAAAATGGGTCACCAAACGGTAATCTTCACAACGTTTCTATTTTTACTCCTCAGGAAACGTGAAAAACGTTTTTAAAAACGGAAACAAGCATGCCTGATCTATTTAAGTTTTTTCCCATATAATTAGGATTGGAACCTTGCACTACAAGAAAAAAAAAGGCTATTATTGGTGAAAAATTTGCCGCTATAAAAAGACGTAGCGACGAAAATATTAGATAGCAGAGAAAATATTCATCGCCGACTCGCCCCTATAACCTAGTCGTTATAGCCTAATAGCGGCGAATTTTAAATTCGCCACCACAGTTAGCGGTAAAAATTTTTCTCGATGCAAGAAAAAATCGCCTTTACATTTTACGTCTCTCAACACAGAAAAGCGATATTAGGGGCGGAAAATTTCGCCGCTATATATTTATTTGTAATAAAATTATTTTGATTTCGACATTAAAAATAGTGGCACATTTTTTTCACAGCTACTGTTCGTTTTTTTTATAAAACTATTTTTTTGTTGTTTTGATTTGTTAATTTGTAAATAGATGATACCAATAACCATATAATTGATAGTAGTTGTGCTTCATAACAACAAGCATATGATTAATAATATAGCTAATTTAATTTAAATATTCACTTAAATATATATAACATTACAACTAATTGACATTAAATAGCAAATTATTACAATATAAAGAAAAGATCCAAATTGTAATCAAAAGTAATTAGTACAAGTCTTCACTAATAACATCAAGTAGAATAAAAAGATAAGTTCTTATTTAAAATTAAGTGCAAGAAAAAGATCTAAGTTGTCATCATAAGTAATTAGTACAAGTCTTCACTACGAACATCAAGTCCAATAAAAAGATAAGTTATAATTTAAAACTAAGTGCAAGGCAAATACTAGAGAGTAGTAAAGAAAACCAAACTTGTTCATGACTAGGACAATTGTTGTAAACGGGCTTTAGCCTAAAATATCGCAAGACCTTGTGAGGAATCTTTTTTCCTTTAGTCTTCTTATCAACCCAACGACTTGTCCCACAAACTGGACATGCTTCTAAGTTTGCATTTTTCTTCCAAAACAAAGCACAATCATATTTGCATGCATGAATAGACTCGTACCCCAAGTCAAGTGCACGCAAGTATGACCTAGCCTCGTAATGTGAACTTGGCATCTTTATCCCTCTTGGCATTGCTTTGATAAGCAAATCAAGCAACGTATTAAATGACTTGTTAGTCTATTTGTTTAGAACCTTCACATGCATTAATTTCACTAAAATGTCAACACCGAAAAGGTTTCACACTCGGGGTACAATGGTCGTTTCATATCATCAAAAAGGTAATCAAACTTCTCAGCATTAGCTCCACCTCTAGGAAATCCAGTAGCAACATCACCGACATCCTCCACATCATTCTCAACAATATCATGCAACAAATTATAACAATCATCATTCTCAATATCATTAGCAGCTTCATCAATCTCAACATCATTACCCACTTCATCATCATCTTCCCCTACGTCAACAAGTTCATCGAAATCTTCGCCATGATAAACCCGAGGTGCCAACTTGTATGTTTCTTGCATGGTCCGATCTAAAAAGTGAACCTCCACTACTTTCAAAAAATGTTATTTTCCATTACAACAATCCCTGCATGGACATCTAATCTTCTCAAAAGTACTTAAAGTATTTTTAACTCTTTCAAGAAATGATTTCACCCTGTCCGATATTCATTACATAACCGATTGCATAATTGCGTCCAACTCTTGTCAAAGGACATTCTAAACTATCAAAGCACCTATTTGTTAATAATATTAATTAACACAAAAACAATAATTAAATAAAATTACATCAAAACAAAAACAACCATAAAACTCAACATTACTACCATATCCAAATCCAAATCCAAACATATCCAAACTTGCTCAGCTACATAATCTAACTCATATTTATCACATATTCACCATATTCCTAGCATAGGCTACTTCCTCAAGTTCCAAATCTATATCCATCATCTATCAATCACCCATAAAAGCTTTAACTTTTACCATATACACACTATATAATAACACCACACATAATTACAAGTCCATTCCATAACCAATAACAAAAAACGATTGTTACAAGCTCATTGACCAATGATAATAATTCAAAATTATTAGAAAAAACATATCTAAATACAAACATCCTACTAGAGTGAGAGTACAAAACTAAATTCACAACAATAAAAGAAGCATATTAAATCATTCAAATTTTTTTCTTCTTTTTGGAACATTTCCAATTAAACTAATCCAATCAATTCTCACAACTTTATCATCAATTCCAAATCACATTCACTAACATAATCAACTAAAAAAATCACAAAATTAAACAATGTCACAAATTACAACTAAAATTCCAAATCACAAACACACCATAATTTAACAAACTCCGTTCATTTTGCTAATTCGAGTTTAAAATTTAAATTTTGTTATAATAAAAAACTCTCAATAACAGTCATATTTAAATTTTTTACTACAGTAAAAAGCTCTCACATAACTCACGTCTCAACTCGAATAAAAAACTCGAATTAACGAAACGGGCAGTTTCAAGGTTTCACGATTCATATACATAAAAATTACTTGAAAATAGTAGAAAGGAAGGAAGCAATGCAGAGGGACAGCGAGTGACTGGCGGCGCGGCGACGGCTTCCAGCGACACTCCGATGAAGCTTCGGGATGATGAGAAGAGGAAGGGAACAAAAAATATTGTGGAAGAATGAGAAATATATGAAGATTTGGAGGTTTTGAGAGTGTTTAATGAATATTAGGGCTTAGATTTCAAGAAAATGGGAAAACAAGGGCGGGTTCTAGTCTAGAGAGAGAAGGGGAGATTTTAGAGAGATGGAGTTTTTGGAGAAAATTGAGAAGAAGAAGCTCGGGCAAGTTTTGCCCTACGAGTAGCCTATAACGGCGCAATTTATCATCGCTACAGGGTTTTATTCAATTTTTTTTTTACTTTTTAATCTATGAATATGTAATTCTAATATAAAAAAATTGAAAAAAAAAACCTATAGCGGGAAAATATTCACCGCTATAAAAATTTAATTTTTACCACAATAAACGTGCGTATTTCAAACGCTATTTGAGAAAGGCGAAACAAAAATTGCACTACGGAGAATATTTTGGCAGTTATATATTTTTATTTTTCACCTGAAATATACGCGCGTATTTCAAATGTTTTTCGCAAAAACAAACAGAAAATGCACATGTAGCGGCCAAAAAATTGCCGCACCAGAAGGTTTTCTGAATCTGCCAATTCTCTCATTCCCGCCACATGAAATAAGAGGCGTGACTGTGGCTACTAGGATTCAAGGGCGAATTTTTTCACCGCAACAGACAAAGAGGTATGATTTTCTTTAGATGGTGTTGACCACCTTTGACTGTGCTTAGAGGCAAAAATATACGCCGTTTGGCTTTTTTGGTGCGATTTTTTTCACCCCTAAAGTTCTGGTAGCTAATACACCTAATTCTTGTAGTGTTGGTTCCAAATTCTTGTAATAGAAAACCCTCAAATGGAGGAGCTCTATTGTTAGAGGTATATAAATTCGTCTTGGAATATCGTACACTAGTGAATATATCATATAGAAAAAAATGGAGAATTTATCTTTAAGAGTGTACGAGTCTGAATCTTTATCCTTTACTCTTGATAAATACCTTTTTATTAGTGTAATTATTTAACTAAAAAAGTTATTAATTAAAAATAAAAAGTAAAAATCTTGACACATACACTTTTAAGAGGTATTTGTCAAGATTGCCCATAATTAATATAATTATTAGCATTTGTTTAAAAAAGAACAAACGAATCACATAAAAAATGCCATGATTTAATCTTTGAAGATAGTAGTCTACAACAACAAATAAGAATTATATAACAAAGCTCGTTGATTTTAAATAATGATAATAGTAGTATGAAACTAATAAAGCTTATGTCCAAGTCAAAAATCTCGTCTTTTGTAAAATATCAGTGGCTGGGTTTAGTAGTGCTTTGTAGAGGTTAAAATCACTTTTGTAGTCATTAAAAATTAATAATGATGTTTGATAAAAACTATAAATAGTAATTTTTTAAAAAAATTTAAATAATTTACGGTCATAATCAGAAACAGTCAACTAATTTGTTTTTTTAAAATGGATATTATTCGTATTTAATAATAATACAATTATTCATTTTTATGGAAATAAATGTACTTCAGGACTTGCCATGCACGTCAATAGGTTAAGCAAGGTAGCTAACAATTAACAACATTTTCCCTTCTAACAATTGCGGCAACTAAATTCTTTACGGTGACAAACTAATTTAACCAATACTAATGTATATAAATATATTGAAGCATTATTTGCACTTCACATAAAACTATTGTTAGTTTATTGATTCATCTATCTATACTAGTTCAATTTCACGTGGGGAGTAATCCGGGTATTAAATTTTAATTATTGTGTTATTATTAAAACATATAAAATTTGAATATAAAATCTTAAAAAAGGAGAATGAAAAAAAAATGAAGTTTTGAACGAAAAAATGGGGTAAAAAAAGAACTAAAATGAAGAAATAAATAAGATTTAAGACAAAAGTGACCGAAATGAAAAAATAAAGCTTCAGTGTAAAAATTAAAAAAAGGTAAAAAGTGATCAAAATGAATAAATAAATAAGTTTTAGAGAAAAAAGAATAAAAAAATTTCAGGGAAAAAGTGAAAAAAAAAAGGTCAAAAGAGGACCAAAATGATGAAATAAATAAGTTCTGGGACAAAAGGAACTCGAAAAAAATCTCAAAACAAAATTAAAAAAAGGAGTTAAAGAAGGACTAAAATGAAGAAGCAAATAAGTTTTATGGCAAAAAGAACCCAAACAAAAAAAATTAAAATTTCAGGAAAAAATAAAAAAAGGGTAAAAAAGAATCAAAATGAAAAAATAAAGAAGTTTTAGGACAAAAAGAACTGAAACGGAAAAGAAATAAGATTTATGAGAGAGAATAAAGAAAAAAATGGTAAAAAAAGGATCAAAATGAAAAAAAAAATTAATTTTAGGGCAAAAAGTGAGAAAAAAGGAAGGATTTGTGTAAAAAAAAAAAGAAAAGAGGGTGAGATGAAATCGGGATTTCTAGCCTCGTTCATTTCGATGATTCGAGTTTAGAATTTGAGTTTTGCTACAGTAAAAAGCTCTCACAAGCAATCACATCTAACTTTTTTGCTACAGTAAAAAACTCTCACATCAAATCACATCTCAACTCAAATTAAAAACTCGAATCAATGAATTAAACAGACCCGTGCATTCACACTTCTTATATATAGATAATAGAAGTTTCAAAATCTGACACTATTGTCATTTCAACCAAAACAGCAAGTTTTGGTTTGAAACAGCAGCCCCAATCCCCTTTGTTTTTTTAAATCCTTCTTTAAGTTTTTTTTCTTAAAATTTTTTTTTTCATTTTAGTCCTTCTCTTGACTTTTTATATTTTTGTCCACAAATTTTATTTTATCATTCGTTTTGTTTTTTTTTTCTTTAAACTTATTTATTTCTTTATTTTTATCTTTTTTTAACCATTTTTTTTATTTTTACCATGAAATTTTAATTTTTTCGATTATGGTTCTTTTTATCCTAAAACCTATTTATTCCTTCATTTTAGTCCTTTTTTGACTCTTTTTTATTTTTGTCCTAAGATTTTATTTTTTTTGTTTTGATTTCTTTTGTCATAAAACTTATTTATTTTTTCATTTTGGTCATTTTTTACTGTTTTTTTTTATTTTTATCCCGAAATTTTATTTTTTTTCATTTTTATCCCTTACCCTAAATTTATTTATCTCTTCATTTTAGTCCATTCTGACCCTCTTTTTTCCTAAAAGTTAATTTTTTTTCCGTTTTGGTTTCTTTTCCTAAAACTTATTTATTTTTTCATTTTGATCTTTTGTACTCCTTTTTTATTTTTACAATGAAACGTTAGATTTTTCGTTTTTGTCCTTTTTGTCCTAAAATTTATTTAATTTTTCATTTTAGTCCTTTTTATCTTGTTTTTGACTTATGAGTGTTGCTATACGGCTCCGGAATTTTTCAACTCCGCACGGCTCCGGACCTACCTGGCAGCTCCATGTGCTTCGAAAAGAAAACTGTTGTACGAGTGGGACCCACCCTGCCAAGTACTTACTGTCTTTTTTTTTTTTTTAATTCAAAAACTTTTACTCCATTTACCCAACCCTGAACCACTGGTACCCAAAACAAAAAGATCATTTATAAAAAATAAAAAATAATAAAATAAACAAAAAATTCTCCTCAAGCAACCTTTTTTTCTTTTCCTCTACTTCCTCTTCTCCTGCTTATAAATCACTCGTTCATTGAAAAGAAGGATTTTACAAAAAAAAATAAATAAATAAATTGTTGATGTTTTTTTTTTTTTCTGTAAGCAAAGCTTCATTAAAAAGAGATGAAGCTTTGTACTCTTCGCCAAGTGGGATTAGAACCACCAGATATAGGCTTAATTTAACAGTGTTGTGAATTTTAAAAAAATTCTTTTTAATTGTGCTGAAAGAAGAAATAACTGTTATAAAAAGTAATTAAAATTTTGGTAAAATGTAATTATACTAGCTGTGTTTGGTTTCAAAATCAGTGTAATAACGTTTGGTAAATTTTGAGATTAAATTACTGTGGGTATATAAAATAACAAAAATAAACATTTGTATGAAATTTAAATATATATCATTATTTTTGGTATTTAAAAATACTTGTTGAGCTTACAAAAAAAAAATAATAATGCTATGATTCTGAGTTTTCTAACAATAAATTTAATGATAATTAATTATTTTTTTCATTTTTTCATTCACAATATAGTTACAACTAAAAAGAGCATTAGTGAGTAATCAAAATATACAATAAAAAAGTGCATTCCATGTTCAAAAACTGACAGAGCCATGAAAAGAATTAAGTCGTGTTCATTAAATTTGTCGCAATTTGATCTCGTACTTCATCCATTTCCAGTGATAGTAAAGCTTAATTTTCTTCTACATTATTATTATTTGGTTGATTATCTTCATAAACGAAAATATCTGGATTATCCTCGATCCTTTGAGAATATCGATCACGCTTATCATGCTTCCTAATATAATTATAAAGCGTCATTGTAGCAATAACTATTTTCACATGCTTTGTAAATGAATAATTTCGTATGTTTTTCAAAATGTTTTTTTTTTTTTTTACTCTCTATTGGACCATTATTAGCAGAAACTGGTAGTGTCACCTCAGAACTAGGTGGTACCATATCAGATACACATGATTCTGGTGAAAATACATTCCCAGTACTCTCGAAAGCATGGGAGCTACAAGCAACATGATTTCTATTAGGCAACAAGTTGTTTTGGAAAGTCATTATCGCAGAAGGCCCCACTTCTACTCGGTTATCTTCTTCATCATCGGTCCAGTCTTCTTCTCTAAAGGGAGCACCATATTGGGCGCCATTTCTTGGTCCTGGACCCTTTTTCTTGAAAACCATGCATAGCACATATGAGTCCTGCAATATAGAAAAGATTAAGGGAGTCAATGCCAAACACCATGATGTCATCGAAAACCAAGGACATGATAACATTGCCCATACACAAGATAAATCGTATGGACAAAAAAATTCTGTCGAGTTACTTCTAGTAGAGCGACTAACTGGAGCGGCCGGGACATACTAGCACTGTGCATATAAATTATATGGATAAAAATTTCAGATGGTTATTAACCCCAAAAGAATAATATATATACCCTAAGACTGTGACGACCCTAACTTTTGATCATCATCCAAATGTTACACCATACTATACATCTGCATAATTCCCATTAGCCTAAGATGCGACCTTATGACACTGTGGTAATCTACGTTGAACGGTTTTTTAGTGAGATTATGACTGATCGCACTATCGAGCTAAAAGAACATGATGCGTGTTTCATATTTTGGAGGGGGTTAACATAAGAGTTGAGAACTATGGTATTTCCACGATGGGAAGTTACATATACCCTCACCCAATTTTTAGAGGAAGTAATTGGAAGAAACATTGGCTATAGAATGAGAGGAACAAGAACGGCGCATTAGTGAGCGTCGAATGGAGTTTGAACGTAGGTAGAGAGAATACTTACGTAGAAACATATCTGTGGAGGTGCGTTGGAATAGAAGTTGGAACAACATCAACACCCCAACAACAGGGTCAAGCAAACGTGGATCCCCAAAACACTGTAAATACAAGTGAGGAAGAAGATCCGGAGGAGGATTTTAGGGAGGCTAATGGGAATTATGCAGATGTATAGTATGGTGTAACGTTTGGATGATGATCAAAAGTTAGGGTCGTCACAAAGACAAACTAAGTGAGAACATTAATTAAGCACTTGCTAATAATGAGAAAATATTGAATCAATAACTAGTAACAATCTACCACTCAAATTGGGTCTTCACCTTTGACAGTCGACACTGTTGCATACTTGGTAAGTTATTGTTTTGGAATCCTTTGTTGTTCTAACTCAACGATTTTCAAGTGCATTTCTGGACTGGTCTATTTCGTTTAGTTACTAAGTGAGAACATTAATTAAGCAAGCACTTGCTAACAATGAGAAAATATTGAATCAATAACTAGTAACAATCTACCACTCAAATTAGGTCTTTACCCCGACAGTCGATACTATTACGTACTTGGTAAGTTATTGTTTTAGAATCCTTTGTTGTTCTAACTCAACGATTTTCAAGAGCATCTCTGGACTGGTCTATTTCGTTTAGTTACTAAATGAGAACATTAATTAAGCAAGCACTTACTAATAATGAGAAAATATTGAATCAATAACTAGTAACAATCTACCACTCAAATTGGGTCTTCACTCCCGACAGTCAACACTGTTGCGTATTTGGTAAGTTATTGTTTTAGAATCTTTTGTTGTTCTAACTAAAAGATTTTCAAGATCATCTCATCTACCACTCAAATTGGGTCTTCACCCCCGACAGTCGACACTGTTGTGTACTTGGTAAGTTATTGTTTTAGAATCCTTTCTAACTCAACGATTTTCAAGATCATCTCTGGTCTGGTCTATTTCGTTTAGTTGCTTCTTTCTTAATCAAGTTAATCCATATTTTTAGGTTGTTACTTTCATTTTTCTCGTCAGGTGCCCGCAGTAGACAAATCCATAATGAGAACAAGCTTATTAAACCAATCAAGCGAATAAAACAACTGTGCATTCTAAAATGAACCAACATCATAACCCCCTGAAGCAGTTAGTTCAAGAATAAAAACTTAACAATCACCAATAAAGAAATAAAAAAACAAAAACCACCTTCCATATGTCAAACTTAGGAGATGAAGAGACAAGATTTTGTTCCTCTTTTTTGAGAATCACAGAGATGGGATTTAGTTCCATAAAGGAGTTGGGAAAAGAACTGACCATTAAAAGTTAAATATTTAATACCTGCACAACATAATTTACAATAACCAAACATATCAAATAAATAATCAAAAAGTCAACTGCCATCAAAATATGTTAGAAAGAGAGATTAATATATAAACTTGGGGGCACCATTCCCATTTACTACCGAATACAGGGTAAAGGAAAAAAAACGTTTTCCTTCACAGTTTTTGGAACAATATGCACGAAAGATTCAAATGCTTAAATAACCATATCCATGAACTATAATCCAAGTATGTGAATACCTATAAAACAGAGTTCAATCCGGTCCAAACAAAGAGTTTACATAATAGAGAAAAAAAAATTTAACAAAAAATTCATCAAGCCAGAGAACACCACCAAATCGACATTCAAAAAGAAGGCCCAATGGAGTACTTACAGATGCAGAGATGGTGAGCTCCAACTAGATCTAGTCTCAACTAAGGATGAATCTGGAAACCCTAACACGAATGGCAGCCCCAAACACCGAGAGAACAGAGAGAGAGGAGAGATTCCGCCGCTGACAATCGCAGGAGAAACTAAACTGGAAACGGAAA